TGGCATCAACCATCCATGCAGTCATTTTGACTTGCCACCTTCTCCTCATTGGCGTCGCCGCAAGTCTTCTTCATGCACTTCTTGCATTTTCTCTGGCAAAGGGAAAGTTGGGATTGCAATGCCACTTTCGAGGAGTGCCTACTGAAAGGCCAGCCGCACACGGACGTCCACGTCTCGATCGGGGTGTCCCAGCTTGCTCCTTCCACCTGATGCCACACTCTTTCTCTTGAGCTGTAGGCAGTGGATGCCACCCAGAGCTTCTTTGGTAGCTGGGTCACCACCAAATCCTTGCCAGCCATTTTGGGCACTTCCTTCGGCATGTCCTCGACCACCATTGCATCGCTCCGAACACTGGCCTTCTCTGTGGGTTTCTTGCCCTTTTGGTTTCTGTCCCCGCTGATGTTTCTATTGGCGGGCTCCGATTGCAAAGCGTCTTCGGCGTAGGCTAAGACCACAGAGGACTTCCATCTGCCCAAGAAGGCTAGCTCTTGTATTGGCATGCCGAGTCTCACGTAGTTCATGGCCCCTGACCTTCTGGCTGAATGCCCTTGTATGCCATCATTTGCAATGAGGGCCCATCCTTCCACCATCTTCGCTTTGGACAACTTTCGGCCCTCAGCATCTTGGAAGATGATTTCCTGGGGCTCGTGCTCGGCTCCTCTGTATGCTTTCCATATTTCGCCCCACACCCTCCAGCAACACCATCTCGGGCAGCTTTTGCACATGCAGCATTGCAGCGTGCGTCTCACTCCTAATCCCTGCTGGTCGCACTTGGAGAGGGGGATGAAAATGGTGACCCGCCTTGAAGTTTCGCAGAAAGTGACATCTTTCCATGGCGCTCACCTCGATCTCTCTCAGCATCCAGATGACCGCCCAAGCATAAGCCAAGGCTGGCCTCGCCGTTCTCCTGGGCCCCCCCGCAGCAGAGCATCCATTTCAGCTGTTCGATCTCCTCCAGTCTGACTTCGGGTGCCCGTTTGATCTTGCAGTCAGCTAGCAACTTGTTCATCTGGAGGTTCACCTCGAAACCCAGCTCGATGTGCATCAACTTGAGCTCATTCAAGTATTGATCTCCCGAAGACCAGCCTCCAGCTTTGATGGCTGCTGCTACGTCCTCAACGGTGTTCAGCTGCACAGGGGAAAACCTGTCTTCCTTCGCCCAAACTGGCTCTGGCCATCATCATGACCTGTTCTCTCTTGGTCTTCTGAGCCGCTTTTGAGGACTTTGCCAAGAAGTCACCCCTGAGCTCCTCCTTGCCCTGTCGAAGTCTTTCCTTGCCCTGCAGGATGTCCATGACCGCTTCGAAGGACCCCCTTCTGGAGTCTTTCGTCAACACCAAACCATCTTCTGCAGGGTGTCCCTGGCCTTCAGTCATCACCATTCCTGCTTTCCCGATACCACTGTGGCCTCTGTCCACGCTCGCTTGCGTCTTAATTAGCCTCGTCATGCACTTCACGGCGTCCCCGACACCATGCACCAACAGACCCAACGTTCTCTTCGTCTTCACGAAAGCCGGGATCCACGTCGAAGCATTGGGCCCGGTCCCAAACCACCAAGGCGGCGCATATCTTGAAGATCTTGAACCACGGGTTGGGCTCTTTGCACCATGGCCTTGAGTATTTGGTCCTGCACCGCTCTGGCCTCCGGCGAACTGTTCATGGGTGTCCTTCTTGAGAGCTTTTCCGGAGTGAGACTGACTGGCCTTCTCGCTGAGCGCTCCCGTAGTGGCGACATTCCCCTGTGACTGGTGGGCGAGTCTCCCTGTGGCCAGCCCTCCTTTCTTTCCTCCGCCTTTGCCCATTTTGGTGATTTCCAGCTCGGCTCCCCCCCTTTCTCCCTGCCTGGTTGCCGCGGAGACACTCTGAAGCCCTCACCGCACCACCTGCTAAGCGTCCACACCCAGCGCACGATGGAGCACCCAAAGAAGAACCAACCCGCTACCACTGCAAACTCCCCAAAGGACCACTCTTCTGGTACGTCCCCTCGGGGTGGGACTTGCTGCAGCGCCGTCTCCATCGAGCCAACATGAACTGCAGACGGTCCAATGTGTCCTGTCCCAGTTCGTCCAAGTCCTCCGTCCCACACCTCAGGAGAACGAGTGAAAACGAGCGAACGAAAACCTGCGGGGCCGACGATCGACCCTACACTGTGCTCTCGATTCCGTTCTGCTCCCCCTCAAGCCGAGAATGGTGCACTCACCTTTAGTCACCATCCTATCACAGCAGCTCGAAGGCTCCGGACACCTGCCCTGCAGACGTGCCCCACAATGCCGGCGCGACCCCTGGTGGGCTCAGGTAGGATCCATGGATCAGGTTCCTCGGGAAGGACTTCATGGGCACGTTCTTGCGGCGTTCCGGCTTAGCTTCACTGCGCTCGTGAGGCCTTTGCCCGGAATATGCTGTGTGATAATCCTCCGGGTGCCATGCTTCTCGCACCTGATCGCTAGCTCTGCTCCCAGCCAGTTGATCACCGGTGAAGGTGAAGCTAATCTCTTAGCCATCGCAAGTGCCACCACGCTGTCGCTCCTCAGGATCACATTCTTGCCCTCCAATCTGTTGGTCCATCGCCTGAATGCCAGCTTCACTGCCCAGGCCTCCAGTGGTCCCTGCGAAGCTGACTCCTTCCATGGCACGCCCAACCACTTCGCGTCCTCCTCGAGCACCGGTATCTCCAGCCCCTCCAAGATGGTGAAGGTCTGTCCCACATTGTGATCCACCGTTGCTAGCAGCGCTCCAATGCCCTGCGGAGAGGCATCTGTCACAATCGCGAAGTCCGGCAACTTCTCCTCCATAGGCTCTGTTCTCAGCGCCAGCTTGTCCGGGTCCTTGAAGAGGGCGACGCACCACCGCCTCGGGAGCTCCAGGCGTTTGACAGACACCAACCCCACCTTGGGTCTCTGGTCTGCACGCTTCGTCGCTCTTCTCCTTTCATCTTCTTCAGCCCTTTTGGTGTCAGCAACCACAGCATACATAATGCTGACTGCCCACCGGGTTCTCGGGAGGATGCCGGCTACCCATGATAGGCGTCCGGTCACTTGCTGCACCTCCCTTAGGCTCACCATGCCCTTCTGCTCCCAAGTCTCCAGCGTGGCCTTGATCTCATTCATCATCTTCCTGGGCACCGTCAGCTTGATCATGGCCTCAGCTTGGATCACCTCAAACATGACTCCTATCCAGGACAGCTGACTTCCCCGTGCTCCTTTATGCCATGCCAGCTTTATCCCCAATGCTCTGGCTGTGTAGAGCAGGAGGGCCAGGTTCCTGTTCCTTCTCGAGGAGGGTCCACGAAGAATCCAGATTGGATCATCCATGTACAGCTGACTTTGCATCTCTGATGGAGCTACCAGCGACTGCCATATCCGAGCCAAACAGGCCGCAAAGCGTCCCATCAAGAGAGGAGCACCTTTGAAGCCAAAGAGCATCGCTACCCACATGAGAGTTTCGGAAGGGTGCACTCCTGGGCTCAAGCAATTGGCGTGCTCCTCTGGGTGCACCGGTAAATGGCAGTAGGCATCGGTCAGGTCAGCCGTGATCATCTCGTAGTCGTAGATGCCTCCATCAGGACGTTCATCATCCAGCACCCACTCCTCATCTCGCGCCTTGATCGCCATTCGATCTTTTGTTCTCCACAGGAACCTGAAGCTGTCCACCACGTCCACCACCCTTGGCAAGACGATGCGCTCAGGCACTCGGCATCTGTGGCGTTGCCGCCCGATCGTAGGAGATCAATGATGATCCGCCTCTTCACGCTGCCATCGTCCTTCTCCTTCACCAAAAGTGCCAGCTTTGAGACCGTTCCATGTCTGTGCGCTTCACTGGCCTTGCCCGTCGGGAGGACCACCGCAAATCCTTCTTCCACAAGCCTGCCCAGCTCTGCGCGCGCGTGTTCAGGTTCATCTGTGAAGCTCTTGTAATTCTCCATCCCGAGCTGCTCCGCCAATTCGGGTGCTTCTTCCACCTCCTGCTCCGGGTCGTCAGCCTTCGGGAAGATTCCGCAGCACGGGATCTCCATGTTCATGCCCAGTGGGACTCCTCGCCTAATCCACTCCACCAGGTTCTTCTCGGGGTCCAGCGCTGCTCTCAACCAAGCTTCCCATAGCTCTGGGTCCAGAGGGGAGTCAAACTCATACTTGTCCTTCAACACCACGTCCTGGAAGGTTCGGGTTTGGAAGAACTGCTTGAGCGCCCCTTTCCATGCCATCTCAACCTCCATGTTCGGCCGATTCCCTGGCGTCCCATAGTTCTTGGCCAAGTCCAGCGCCTCCGGGTAGCCCATGACGAAGCGGTCCCAAATCCTTGAGACGTCCATGCCAACTTGCCTCATCTTCGACAGTCTCTCCACCGCTCTGCCAGGGTTCCTCATGCCTCCGATGTAGCGTTCATTCTCCTCTTCTCTTCTGGCCTTCTTGGACACGCTCATCACCGGCCGGATGTCCTGGGTCGCCTGCGTCTGCTCCCATACCCTCTTTGATGGATCCGCCGTAGGTCTTCCTTCCGGAGGTCCCTGGTAGATGCGTTCCTTGCTGGCAACCCATCTCTTCTTGAGGGTGGATAC